TATTAAAATTCAAGGGAGCTTACAATATTATCTCTGTTATGAAGTGGTGTGGTGGCGGAACGTCCGTAATCGCTGGTGATTAAAATCCAATAGAAGGTTTAAAGAATTAAAAACTGAAGTCGAACCCTCTAAACGGTTTGAAGAGTTCCGTTTTCAGGGGAAATTAAACGAAAGTGCACTGACAGGAAAAGTGCAGCTTTTCTTCTTGTTTTGTTTCACATACGAATGTGTATATGTGTGCATCTGTTAAATTAACATGAGGGTGGAACACCCGATAATTTAATTGAAGAATTTGATTTAGCGTGGAGGCCTAAACATACCGACCCCTTTGCTATAAGCAACGTCTCAAAGATGATTCAGCCACCTCACCTACTTTTGCATTTATTTACATTGTAAATTATGTACTTTAACATTGTAAGTTCTGCCGCAGATTGGTCCTTGCCCGGGGATCTAGTGCGAACGTTCTCCGGTCCTCATTGCAGTTTCTAGCTACGGGGAGAAAATGGAAGAAAAAAAGCTAATAAGGAAAAAAGGTGTGGTTGATCATTTCATTGCACTTTTATTTAAATTTGGTATGAATTCATCAATACTAAATAAATAGAAAATTTCAAGTGTTTTGTCACATTTGGCGAGCTCCTGATATAATCAGACCGAACATAGAAGCTTGCGCCAGTAAACCGCTGATCGTTGTTGGCGGAGTGCCACATACCATGACCTGAGCGTACACATCAGCCCCGAGTGTAAGTCGAGTGGGGGTGGCCCGATAGAACTCTGGATCCGCCGGACGCATAAATTGAAACGGCGTCGCTATCGTCGGGTCGATGTTAGCCGCGGGGCTGAGTCGGTTGTATCGCGTAACTAGCCTCGCCTGAGTGTTTACCCGTTCCGCGACCCCGTACTTTCCTCGCAGAACGAGGGAACATATTTTGCACGGGCGTTGCTGGCTTCAAGCTGAAGCTCCCTTTGCTAGATCCCTGTCGATGGTACTGCTGGGGGAGCAAGAGTCAATCAACGCCTGCACCAGATGAACTCGGCCGCCTGACTCGATCCGTACGATTGCGGTTGGCGCGATGGCTACGAATGAGCGCATGATTGATTCTGGAACCGCGATTTTTTTTAACCTGCCTGCCCGGAACCCACCCGATGGAATGCGTCGGATGGTGAGGGTGGAACGGTCGCCACGTCGGTGTCGTGCGGTCCTTATTGCTTGCCAGCGAGGCGGGCGAAAAGGACGAGTTTCCGCGCCATCACGCTGGCTGCAATTACGTNGACTCGATCCGTACGATTGCGGTTGGCGCGATGGCTACGAATGAGCGCATGATTGATTCTGGAACCGCGATTTTTTTTAACCTGCCTGCCCGGAACCCACCCGATGGAATGCGTCGGATGGTGAGGGTGGAACGGTCGCCACGTCGGTGTCGTGCGGTCCTTATTGCTTGCCAGCGAGGCGGGCGAAAAGGACGAGTTTCCGCGCCATCACGCTGGCTGCAATTACGTTTGCGCCAAAATGAGCGAAAAGGACGAGTTTCCGCGCCATCTCGGTGGCCAAAATTGGTTACACGCTGATTTGAGCGAAAAGGACTAGTTACCGCGTCATCTCGTTGACCGCCCGTTGGCTGTGTGTGTGGCAGCACTACAGGCATGGGACTGTCTGCTTCAAGGCAATGATTTCCGAGTTCGTGCTGCAGCGGCGATCGAAAATTGCGGGTTTTCAAGCCGCCGTTCGGTGGTGAAGGGATTATCTCTTCCCGTTTTTCCACCTCCTCTTCCTCTACCTACTGCGCCCATGACGTCGTTTGGTCGGAAACGTGGAGCGAAATTGCTCCGTCAGAGCCGTCGTCGTTATCGGGGTGATTTTCTGTCGTTTTCCTTGGATCGCCGTAGTCTTCAATATGCAGGGAGGTATGGTGCTTTTCGTCGCAGCGGTGGCATCGGTCATTGCTTCCACATATCTCTATCCGATGGTATGGCGACAAATAGTTGGGACAGTACCGATGTATTAAAATCGTCCGCAACCTTTCCTCGGCGGATTTCCCCCGGTATATGGGGCAGAGTCGTACTCCATGGTTGTTGCCGCACAACCGACAGGGAATCTTAAAATGATCGACGAGTTTCTCGGTCTTAGTGCGGGTGGCCATGAAGCGAGGCATTCTGTAAAGTTAAACCCCCTTTTTATGGCCGTATGCACTATTATGGTTCATTGTGTATTTTAAAACCTTAGCTGGGTGGCAAGTTATACATATATACATACACATATTTAATTGCTAATATATGATTTCCATTTATTTTACTACTTTTATTTTTATTTTTATTTTTGCCCCGCTTGTTCCTGAGTTCATATATATAAACGAATATTCTGCGTAATAAAGAAATTAAAAATTGCTTCTACTTGTTTACTATTAATTTAGATTGCTTCATAAGATAAAAATATCAACATATTTGAGTTCCCGGCTAAAAACTACCCATACAAACCTGGGGATTTTTTCAAATAGCCCGAAATAGCTTCCAATTATACACATTTTGAGTTCTAAGACGATAGTAGATTTATCTCGAAAAGTTTTGACGTTCAAATACAATTTGCTAATCCGATATTCAAGATATTGGGGGGAGTCTTTGAAAAAATGTCTGTGGACATGTAGAGCAACTCATTTCTCTACTAATATCATGAAAAAGTTAAAACATTTTCTTGAACCGGTTGTTGTTGTTGTTGTAGCGGCTACTAAGCCCCGTTCGGGGCGGTTCATCCATCCATCAACGTTGTCGTCTATTCCAGCTAGGGGGAGGCCCAGGAAGTGTGCTACTTCCAGAGGGGCTGTCCATAGGGAAAGGGGCGAAGTTGGGCTATTGTAGTGCGGGTCTCCCGAGGCAGACAAAGTTCTGTTTTTGAACCGGTCTAATGTAGTGGCTCCAGTTCAAGGACTACTTCCTGTGTACATCCATCTTAGGATCCTTGGGGTGCACCCCCAGGTCTGTCCTGCTGGACGTTTGCATACCATCAGCGCTCTCATAGCCTTGGAAGTGACTGCCTAAACATGAGTCCTCCACAGAAGTTTTGAGTCCACGCGACCCCATCCAAGGATAGGTTCCTCATTCCCTCTAGAGCTCTTTTCCTGGTAAACAGGATAATGGCTGTCTTAGAAGGGTTAATATTAAGCCCCACCTCAGCACACCACCTCCTTGGCAGTTAAGACCTCTTTGAACTATGTCGCAGAGGGTACTCGCGAACTTCCCCCTATCAATAATCACTATGCCATCCGCATACCCTTGGCAGCGGACGCCATTGTCAGTGAGTTTCTGCTTAATAAAACAAAACTTTTGTTAGCTGTTTTTCTAATTGCGATGTGCATAATCATGCCAATGGAAATGATATTTTAATTGATTTTACGATCAAATGTGCTGTACAGTATCGATACATTGCTTGAATTCAATATAATTTTCTAAATTTGCTATAACTTTTATATTTTCAAATTGCTTTGCGAAAGATTTGGATCTGAATACTTTAAAATTAAATACGCTTTAATATAGCATAAAAATAGGAACAAAAAGTATGCAGCTTTTATATGTAATTCACAATAGAATATCGATGCGACTTAAAATTGGGTCCGATTTCCCCCATAAATTTGCAGATAACTCTTAAACTGCTAAATTTGATTGTAAAACATACATAAATATGTATAGCAAGCTCATAGGGTTTTCGAAAACCGTTAATCTGGTGGAGAGCTTTTTGCGGTGTGATAATGAGAACCGGATATTTTTGGAAAAAATTTAAAATGCTGTTTTCTCAAATTGAGAGAACGATAATTTCGCAAATTCGTAAACCCTATTCTACTTTTTTATTTTTAATCGCTAATTCAGATTCTGTGAGCTATGTTACATAGTAAATGACCACAACATTCACGATTTTCAACTATTTTGTTAAAAACTTTTCTTCCTGAATGTGCATGTTTTTATTGGGCATCTTTAAATGGAAATGGTTAAGTTATCTTTGCGAATCATGAAATTTGAATTAAAATGCCATTCAATCGTTAGTGTATATTTTGCAGTAAATGCATGGTTTTGCATATTTTGCAAAAAATACCAGTTTTTGCATATTTATTGCTCATATTTTAGTATGTTTTAAAATAAATGCGTATTTTAGTATATTTTACAATAAATGCATATTGTTTTTGCATATTTTTGCTTTTTTAATTTACAACAATTTTAATTGAGTTCGAAATCGCTTGAAAAAAAATACTTATAATTTTTCAAATATTCATCTAAATATCTTCTCAGACAGCCAAGCGGCCATCAACGCACTCTCTTCTTCCTTCGTTAGATCTCAATTAGTGGAGGATTGTAGTAGAGTCCGACCGATTGCAATTTTTTTCAGGTACCGATGCCGATGGCGATTAATCGGCTTATTGGGAAAGAATCGGCCAATGCCGATGCCGATGCCGATTTTATAAAAAATAATAAATAAATGTATTAATTCATAAAATCAGTTAATTTAACGGAGTTAACAAAACAAAAGAAAACAATAGTTGAATTAATTGGCTTATTATGCAACATTACTTACACATGTATATATGTACATACATACATATGTATGTGTAAAAATATATGTACATATATCACATTTATGAACATTACATAAAACACTTCTTTATATGGTGCTAAGTAAGAAATATTTAGGAACATAAAAATCAATTTCGTTTTGTACTAAAATACACTCTTTTGCACTCAATGCATAAGAACTTATATGCCAGGTATGTATGTACATACATTTGGCATTTGTCTTGTGTTTATTTAATGTTTATTATTTTTTTTATAAAAGTCTAGCTGGTATACAACAAACACCATATAAATTCAGATTTCAAACTTTGTACAAAAATTAGAAAAATTCTACATATTTTCACCAAAATTTCAAACTTTTTAATCAGAATTTTGATAGGCAATTTTTTAGCCCATTTAATTCTAGTATAATGAAGTGCAAGTTTCAAGCAGCTTTAAAATCCCGTTAATTTTTGTATTTTTTTTTGCTGTCAGTGTTCTCCATATAAAAGAAAATTGTCGAACATACTTTTGTATGGAACTACGTGAAACATCTTCAACCAAACAAAATAATAATTTTTGTGAGCTGTCTGCAAATGTTTTTTAATGTTAGCTCTTGTCTGTCGCTTCGCCTGAACATATGAAAAAAAAAAATATCCAAGGAATCGGCCAAAAAAGGCCGATGCCGATGTTCAATTTTGAGCCGATACTAACTCAAAGGCCAAGGCACAGGCGGAACCATACAGGATCGTACATGATTAAACGGAAGTTCTGGGTGTCCTACGACGCACTTAAAACCAAAGCTCCTTAGGAATGCAGATACCTACAAACTTAGTGCACATGATACTGACCCGTTGAGGTACATGCCTTGCCCTCGCAAGGATGAGGTTTAAGACACTCCGCAAGACATTCCTGCAGAATGTTTTAGAGTTCAGCCGCCAAATGGCTATAGGTTGCACGAGTTGTGGAATCAAAATGGCAAACTTGCTAATTGCTTGTCACCAAGTTGGCAATCCACTTAAACCAACCACCATTCATCTGAACCACTATTAAACACTGTTTGAATATAACATAATTTATACATAAATTTGTATTGTATTTTGAATGGAAATGTTTTCGTTACTTATTTTTTGTACCGGCAATAAAATATTTTTAATTGCATATGTTACTTTTTTATAGCGCATATTTTTGAATTTTGAGTGCATATTATATGCGCATATTTTCTATTTTTTAGTGCATGAGATTCCGAGTCGTAGTTATCATATTCGAATAAAACTTTCCACTGCAAAACAATTTTTTCTTAACGAACGGCCTAATGCACATATTTATACCCGAGCGCACTTGTGCACAAGGGTGTTATAACTTTGTTCATCTAGCGGTTGTTTGTAACAGCCAAAACGAATCGAGATAGATATAGACAAATATAGACATAAATGATTAGAATGTAAAAAGAAATTGATTATGCGATGACTGTCTGTCCGTCCGTCTGTGCACACGATAACTCGAGTAAAAATAGATATATCTACGAAACTTGGTATACGTCCTTCTTTTCACCGTAGGACGGATGACATTGAAAATGGGCAAAATCCGGCAATAACCATGCCTACCTAACATATAGCGGTAGCTTTCAGAAATACGAAAACTACGATATTTTAGTAACTAATAATAATAATAATAATAATAAGAGATTGGCGCTTGCACATATGTTAGTGTTTGGCCGAGCTTCTCCTCCAACTTGTGGCGTGCGCCTTAATATTGTCACACAAAGCGGAGGGACCTACAGTATTTTGCCGACTCCGAACGGCGATTGTATTTTCATGAGAAGCTGTTTTTCATGGCAGAAATACACTCGGCGGTTTGCCATTGCCTGCCGAGGGACGACCGCTGTTAAGAAAAACCTTTTTCTAAATTTCTTGCGATGTTGCTTTGACCAGGGCTTGAACCCAGGTGCTGGTGAGTGAAAGCGCGCACTGCTTACCACTACACCACAGCGGCCGACAATAATAATAATAATAATAATAATAATACTAATAATAATAATAATAATAATAATAATAATAATAATAATAATCCCAAAGGGTTTTACCCTCCATTCCGCCCATTCGCACGAGGGGCGCAGTCCGCATGACGTACGGAACCAGTATTTTCAATTTTCGCGCCGAGTCACGAAAGGCAGGAGTTTTTTAAGTGTCGAGATCTAAAACTGTTTAGCTACAGAACTAAATTCATCAGCTGATTTTATGTCTTTATGTTAATAATTCATTTATTGAGAGAGGAGAGTACCGCTTTCTTAATACTAAAAAGCGGATCTGATATATCAAACGTGCTCGAATGAGAGTTACATACTACATGCTTTCAGAAATAGGGGACAAAAGTGTCTTGATACCCGGGAGGGAACATTAAGGCTAACTTCACCCAGAAGAAGCGGACTTGAAATTGAGCCTGTCAGTAATTTAACTATAAAAATTGTACCAAGCATTTGCCTGCGACTGGCAAGTGTAGGAAGATTAATAAGTTTTAACCGGCTCGTATAAGGCGGAAGGTTATATTGAGAATCCCAACGGAAATTTCTTAAAGCAAAAAGTAGGAATTGTTTTTGAATTGATTCTATCTTGTCTGAGTAAATTTGATACCTTGGATTCCAAACCACCGAGCCGTATTCCAGAATCGGCCTAACTAATGTTGTAAACAGGGTTTTAGTGATATAAGGGTCACTAAATTCTTTTGACCATCGTTTCACAAATGCAAGTACACCTTTAGCCTTGTTGACTGTCACATTAATATGAAGATTAAAATTAAGCTTAGGATCCATTGTGATACCAAGGTCCACAAAATTGTATACCTGTTCCAGGTTGTGGTTACCTATTGTATAAGAAGAATGATGAATAGCTCTTCGCGAGAAGCACATTACTTTACATTTCTTAAGATTTAGAGGCATAAGATTTACTTTACACCAGTAAGCCATGCTGTTTAAGTCTGATTGTAGCAAAGACCTTTCTTTAATTGAAACGTACGATTTATAAAGCTTTACATCATCTGCACACATTAAAATTTTGGAAAATTGTATATCTGTAGAAATATCGTTTATAAAAAGCAAGAACAGAACCGGGCTTAGGTGGCTACCTTGAGGGGGGGGTGAATTAACACAAACGGCAATAACGCAAAATTTGCTTTATTTCACTTTTAAATGGGAAATAATACCAAAATCTGAGTTTTGCTTTATTTCCAACAAAGGTTGGAAATAAAACAAATTTTGCCTTATTTCCCATTGCTTATTTATACTATTTGTAAACAAAACAGTTTCCTGACAGAAGGAAAAAGAACTTTGTTTATTCCAAAAATACAATTAAACCAAGGCACATTTAACAGGTAATATCAGTAAAGCAGCTGATTTGAGTTTTTTCAAATTATTTGTTCTCGAAAATGTCAAATATTTTACATTTCTTCTAAATTGTTAAAATCTATTTGCATGTGAAACATTTTCCATACAAACCAGCGATTAAATAGCAGCTTTTGGAAAGCTCGCCCAACTCAGCAGCACAACCGCTGATTACTGGGCCTGGCACAGGATGGTGGATCAATGCTTCGAGAAGCGAACCAATTTACTAAGAAAGAAAGTTGCAACAATTTTCATTTTTTCAATTTAAATTTTTTACCTTTTTCATATTTCGCATGGCACGCTTTGATGTAGAAGAAAAAAATCAGAACAGTTTTTGGCAACTTCGATACCAGAAGCAACAACAAAATACAGGCAAATGTTGTTTTTGCTCAAATGCTCTTAACCTGTTTGATAGGCCTTGAATTAAACAAAAATGTGATATAATTCATATGAAGAAAGTAATATTCACAAAATATTTTTACTTATGAAAAGTCTAACAAAATATAGGATAGCATCGTCTTTAAAAACTGCTCCGCATATTGGACATAGCGCTTTTGTATGAATTTTTTCTGCATGCTTTTTAATATATGTTAAAAACATTGCTGGAAAACCTGCAAATGTTTGCATGGAACCATGTCGCAATAAACAGATGAAGTAATAAAATGGCTTTCTCGCTTTATTTTTTGACATTCGACTGCCTTATAGTCACATTTTATAGGCAAATTTTCAAATAAAGCAGTGGCACTTGGTAAATTCCACTATGGGTGGGATGCATGCAATAACACCATACACAATAATTCCCATTGCTTGGACGACATTAAAAAGCAGTTTCAGAAGTGAACTAGTGTTATTTTATCATTTTTCCTTTTTCTAAACGGTTATAATGCCACCAGTACATAATTGCGAAAGGAGGGGAGGGGCGGGGGACGCGAGCGCGACGTCGAAAGCGGCGCGCGAACGCGGACCGCCGCGACGCCGGGCACTTTCAAAATTGTGTACTTACAAATCCGTCCATTTAACTTGTTCATGTACTATTTTTTATCAAATGTAACTGGGTGACTATATTGCTTTATTACTCAAATTGTTAAGCATAAAAGTTGGTCTTATTGCTCAACGAGAAATGAAATAAAGCAAATTTGTGTTATTTCACATTCGATTGGGAAATAACACAAATTTGCGTTATTGCCGTTTGTGTTATTTCACCCCCCCACCTTGAGGGACTCCTGAAGTAACATCAATGACGTCAGAGATAGTATTTTTAAACATTACCCTTTGTGATCTATCATAGAGGTATGAAGAGATCCAAAGTAGAAAATTAGGTGAAAGACCAAGAAGATCAAGTTTATAGATGAGCAACGAGTGGCAGACTTTGCAAATGCTTTACTGAAGTCAGTATATATAACATCAACAGTTTTGCTTTCACTAAATGCTTTTGAGATATAGGATGTTAATTCAAGTAAATTTGTAGGAGTTGATTTGCCCTTGCAAAATCCATGTTGACTATATCAAATGCCAGAAGAGATAGAATGCGTCAACTGATTTGTTATAATTGCTTCAAATAATTTAGGAATTGCAGAAAGCTTAGCTATTCCCCGGTAGTTCTCCACTGAAGATCTGCTACCGCTTTTATGTAACGGGGTTTATTCACTCAAAATTGGTATTTACTATCATTTTTATACGAAAAATAAGAATATTATAAATTTTTTGAAAATGGGCGTATGACTACATGTGTATATCTTGGTAACCGCTACATATATATCTCCCAAACTTGGCACAGTTGTTAGCCTTGCTACAGCATACCAAACGACTGAAAATTTTTAAACTCGGCTACTAAACTCGCCTACCTTCCATATAACGGTAGTTTACGAAATTTTCGATAAATCAGTAAATACTGAGCCAATTTATATAAAGTTGATGATTGAAATAATTCTTTAGCAAAAAATACGTGTATGATAAAATTGTGGAAAATAGGCGTAGCTCCGCCCACTTATGCCCACATATGTGTATCTCGGTAAGCGATCAATCAATTTGTACCAAACTGGGTATGATTATTAAATAAAAGCAAAACGTTGAAAATTATTGAAACCGGACTAAAATTACGCCCACTTTGCATATAACGGTAAATTTCAGAAATGCTTGAAACTGCAATATTTCAAAATTTAAGGACGCTAATTTACTCAAAATTAATACTAACAACAAACCCTTGAAAAGAAGTAACATTATTATAGAATTTTGGAAAACGGGCGTAGCACCACCCACATATAACTATATAAGTTTATCTCATTATGTCTAACTAAAAGTTCCATCGCAAATGTTTGAAATCTTGGTAAAACCATCCCTGCTGACTACGTAGCGGTAATTTTCGGAAAGGTTAAAAAAGTATATTGAATACTTGCGCCGGGTATTTAATGTTCGGCTCCGCCCGAACTTGAACTTTTTGACTTGTTTCAAGTACACTTCTTAACAAAAAGCACTTTTAAGTCATTATATATTAATTGAAAACAGAGGAATCTTCTTTGGATTCGGTACTAAAACTTGGCATAGCTTTTCATTAGTAATTTTAATATTATGGCAATATTCCTAGGTATAATTCTTATCAAAACTTTACGACACATACATATTGACACGATTTGGCAATTTATCCTAATATTATTTAGTTTTAATTATTTGATTATAAAAAAAGTTTATACTTTGTCCAAAACCGTATAAATCCAAGATCCTATCCTTGTGCAACATTAAAAAATCAACAAACTTTCCTAAAAATTTCGAGCTTTTAATTAAATTTCATAGAAATAATTTAAGTACGCAGTTTTGTAGCCAATTCAATTTTAATATAACAAAGTGCAAGTTTAAAGTAGCTGCGACCTACCGTTGATTTTTAAGATTTTTTTGTTGAAGGTGTTAAGGTATCCACACACCTATGCGATTCTGTCGCTGCGAATCTGTTCCGACAAAAATTACAACAAGACCAACCATAGTTTTAGATGAGGAACCACACACTTATATGATTTTGCTGCAGCGATTTATTCGAACATTTACAGTTCTTCCTTTCATCGTGCCGAAATCACAGACTGCCGCATTTTGAGAACTAGAAAGGTCAATAGACGGATAGTAAAGCTGAAACAAAAATTAACGTAAGAAAACGAAACATTTTTATTGTAGAAATGCTAAGAATTAAATTTTTATATTATATTATATTTTTTGTTCGTTTATAAAATGACATTTTTCACTGCGATAGAATCGCACAGATATGTTCGTTCTTGCGTTTTCGAAGTAATCAACTTTGTAGCATCAAACACGTTGCGGATCCGCTCCAACGGAATCGCACAAGTGTCTGGATGCCTTTAATCCTTTACTCCATATAAAAAAAACATACTTCATTTAATTTCAATTTTTCATTTAATTTCATTTATTAAACAAATTCATTAGTACAATAAGATCTAAAAGCTCTTTTATAGAACACCAGTAATTATAAAGCAAAAAACATAAAACAACGAAAGAAAAACAATAAAGAAAAAAAAAATAAAATAAAAAATAAAATGACAAAAATTCAACAAATCCTAAGACTAAAAACTAACATTATTACATTAGGCTGTATTATTTCTAGTAAGTAAGAGTAAATAAATCTAACTTCCAAGGCTGAAAGCCAAAATTCTGACATTTATCTCAAAATCAGATATTTTTTTACTTTAGGTTGTACCATTTACAAACCCATATGAGAGCTAAATTTTTTTTAATTTACAAGACTGATTTTCGTAGTCTATTACCTTTTTTGCATTGTTTAAGCCGTCAGTGGAGAGAAAAATTCGTTAGCATTGTAACGGCGTAATTTTCAAATTTTTCGGGGAAGTACTAAATATTTTATTATATATTGAAGCAAATCATATTTTAATGTCCCGCCCGTCACAAAATACACAAAATAGTTTTTTTTAAGGAAAACACGTCTTGGACAGTTTAAAAAAGCTGACGAAAGTAACGCTATAACACAGGGAAATATGTGCGAATTGCTTTTAAGTATTTATATGCTTTTCGAAAAAAGAACCGATGATGTTGGTCATGCCCGTCACATGTCACATCCGTCACAATTTAAAGTTTGACAAACTTCAATAAATTCGGCCAGGGACTGCTACCGTTGCTTATCTGCTAATCTGAAATGTGGCATATATCTGTTTGTAATCAGCGATGACAAAGCTAATCATAAAGATATGTTGCTCGAGCGATGGGTAAACTTAAGCTATGCTGTCGCTGATAAAAAGAAACCATTACTTCGCTTGTCAGGGCAAAAAAAGTATCTAAAACGGTTTTTACAGGTAACGGCCTCGGTTTGACAGGTAATAGGCTCATACAATTTAAAAATAAGGTACTTTACAATTACTAAGGCATACAATGGAGAAGAAGAGTCCGATCAAGGATTATCCCGTCTTTAGGTGGCAGAATCTTGTATGTGTTCGTAAAATCCGATTTTTTGAGAAATAAAGTGAGCTTAGTTGTCTAATAATGTGTACTAGTGTTCGCCCAGCGGTTGAAATTCAACCGATAAAATTAAGGATAGATTATGTAAGTTGAATGAGCTAAAATAACATTAGTTGGAATGGGTTAAGTGGAGGGGAGTTTAGCTTAGTACTTGGCATAACATAACATAACCATAACATAAGAATAAATAACATAACATATGAAGCATAACACACCACAATATAACATCGCACACTCTTCAGTTGTATTTCCTTTTTATCCCTTTTTTCACCTCTATCTAAATCTTATTTATTTTGGTTCATTTTATGCCAAATGATGTTGCCTTTGATGCCACATCAAGTGATATCATGTCATGTGGTGAAATTGGGTGTGGTGAGCTGCGGTGTGGTGGAAT